GGCTCGTGCTGCCCCATTGGTTCTCGAAGCAATAGATGGCAGGCCCCTGCAACCGCCGCAGGTTACCCACGAGACTCTGCCAATAGAGGTAGCCATTGGGGCTGTTCACAGGGAGTTGGCCTGTTTTCAGGTGATTTCTTCCCACACACTATTCGGTGGTTTTGGGGTATCCCTGGCTCCAGAGGCACAATCCAACCTTCAATTGGCAAACAGCCGAGATTCTCTCATGGTCTCCACAGTGTGGGGCCGGGTGCATCTGGGGGCCGGTTAAGGTATTGTGTGCCTCCTCGGACTCTGCGTTGCCCACCGACTATGGAGAGTACCGGGACGTGTTTGATAAGGTACGCGCTGGTACCTTACCACCGCATCGTCCTTACGACTGCGCCATATCCTTGCAACCCGGGGCCACTCCTCCACGTGGCAGGGTGTACCCTCTCTCGGTTGCGGAGAATAAGGCCATGGAGGAGTACGTTGTGGATGCGCTTTCCCGGGGGCACATTCGTAAGTCTACTTCCCCAGCAGGAGCGGGTTTTTTTTTCGTAAAGAAGAAAGGTGGGGAATTGAGGCCCTGCATCGATTATAGGGGTCTCAATCGGATTACCATTAAAAATGCATATCCAATTCCTTTGATTTCTGAGTTGTTCGACCGCCTTAAGGGAGCAACAGTCTTTACCAAACTCGACCTTAGGGCGGCGTACAACCTCGTACGGATCAGACAGGGGGATGAGTGGAAGACCGCGTTTAACACCAGAACTGTGCACTACGAATACCTGGTGATGCCCTTCGGATTGTGTAACGCGCCCGCGGTTTTTCAGGAATTCATAAACGATGTCCTTCGTGATTTGTTGCAGCAGTGCGTAGTGGTTTACCTGGATGATATCTTGGTTTACTCTACCTCCATGGAGTCCCATGTCCAGGATGTCAAGCAGGTGCTGCAACGATTGCGTGAGAACGGACTCTTTTGTAAACTCGAGAAGTGCGAGTTCCATCGATCCCAGGTTGCCTTTTTGGGCTACATAATTTCCGGAGGGATTTTTCATGGACCCTCAGAAGGTTGCGGCGATTCTGCAGTGGCCTCGTCCCAATGGTCTTCGGCCATTCAGCGCTTTCTGGGTTTTGCCAACTACTATCGGAAGTTCATCAGGAACTTCTCCTCATTGGCAAAGCCTCTCTCTGACCTAACCAAGAAGGGGAGTAACCCTCACGAGTGGCCATCCGAGGCCATCATAGCTTTCGAGGCTCTGAAAGCTGCCTTTGCTTCGGCTCCGATTCTTTCGCATCCCAATCCTGGGTTGCCCTTCGTCCTCGAAGTTGATGCTTCCGAGACGGGAGAAGGGGCTCTCCTGTCTCAGCGTCGGTCGCCCGATGGACCCCTACTTCCCTGCGGGTTCTACTCCAGGAAGCTTTCCTCGGCTGAGTGCAACTACCAGATTGGAGATCGGGAGTTGTTGGTCATCATTGTGGCTCTCAAGGAATGGAGGCACCTGCTCGAGGGTTCCGCGGTTCCGGTCCTCATTCTTACCGATCACAAGAACCTGACTTATCTTTCAGAGGCCAAGAGATTGACACCCTGCCAGGCCAGATGGGCTCTGTTCTTGTCACGCTTCAACTATGTGGTTTCATATTTGCCTGGTTCCAAGAATGTCAGGGCTGATGCGTTGTCACTGCAATACTCTGAGTTGTCCAGGGAGGACTCTGAGCCAATCTCACTTATACCTCCAGATCAGGTCCTGACTGCCATTCGCACCAGTCTGACCTCTCCCCTTGGGGAGCAGATTTTGGCGGCTCAAACTGATGCTCCTCCCGGGAAGCCGGAGGGTAGATGTTTCGTACCCGAGGGATTGCGCACCCGCCTGCTGCGTACCTACCATAACGCCAAAAACTGCCGGGCATCCGGGGAAGAACCAGCTGTGTTGGGTCGTCTCTCGCTTATTCTGGTGGCCAACCCTCCATGCCGACATTGCCTCTTATGTAGCGGCATGTTCGATCTGTGCCCAAAATAAGTCTCCACGGCATCTCCCTTGGGTCTTCTGCAACCCATTCCCAATGGGGAGCGTCCTTGGTCACATCTAGGGATGGACTTTATTGTAGACCTCCCGGTGTCTCGGGGTCATACGGTCATCCTCATGATCGTCGATCGGTTTTCCAAGATGTGCCATTGCATTCCACTCAGGAAATTACCCACAGCGCAAGAACTGGCCACGGTCTTTTCCAGGGAGATTTTTCGCCTGCATGGGTTACCTAAGGTGATTGTCTCAGACCGCGGGAGTCAGTTCGTGTCCAGATTCTGGCGCGCCTTCTGCTCCCAGTTGGGTATTAGTCTCTCCTTTTCTTCAGCCTACCACCCGCAGTCCAAGGGGGCTGCAGAGCGTTCCAATCAGGCCTTAGAACAATTCCTTCGGTGTTATATTTCAGACCATCAGGACGATTGGGCCGATCTCCTGCCGTGGGCAGAGTTTGCCAGGAACTCGGCGGTCAACTCCTCCTCCGGGATGTCTCCCTTCATGGCCAACTATGGGTTCCAACCCGCGGTATTACCTGAGAGGTTCTCACCACAGGACATTCCGGCTGTGGAGAACCATCTTGCTGCCCTGCGTTCTTCATGGGGGCAGATCCAGAGGGCCTTGAGGGACTCAGCTCAGCGCCAGAAGTTCCAGGCTGATCGCAGACGGTTTGCCCGCTCCTTCATACCAGGTCGGCGATCGGGTGTGGTTGTCTACTCGCAACCTCAATCTTCGGGTGCCCACACCCAAACTAGCTCCCCGTTTTGTCGGTCCTTTCCGCATTCTCCGCAAAGTGAATCCGGTGGCCTATGCCCTTGCCCTTCCGTCTGGGATGCGGATCTCCAATATCTTTCATGTTTCCCTGTTGAAACCTCTGATCTGCAATCGCTTCACTACCTCTCTTCCTCGGCCCCGTCCTGTCCGGGTTGACGGTCATGAGGAGTATGAGGTGAGCCGGATCCTGGACTCTCGATTGGTGCGCGGTCGATTACAGTTCCTGGTTCATTGGCGCGGTTATGGTCCCGAGGAGCGTTCCTGGGTTCCTTCCGCGGATGTCCATGCTCCTGCCCTCCTCCGCGCTTTTCATACCCGCTTTCCTCAGAAACCTTTTGTTGAGCCGCGGAGGAGGAGGGGCCCTTGAGGAGGAGGTACTGTCAAGGTCCTACCTTTTCCCTGAGGTTATGTTACTCCATGTGCTGGCGTCCATCTTGGATTCTGCTGTGCATGATGGGAATCCTTTTATGCCTTCAGGTTTCTGTGGTCCATCCCCCAGAGGGGTGCGGCTGATGACATATAAGCCTGTGGCCCGCACATGCTCTTTGCACTTGTGTCTTGTGTCTTTGTGTTGCTATTACTCTGTTCTGACTCTCGTGACTCTCCTGGTATCTGATTCGGCTTGTGACTTGACTATTCTTTGTATTCTCCTTTGATCTGACCCTCTGTTGCTGAACCCAGCTCATGACCTGTGATTCTCGTCTGCTGTCCTGTACTGTTTTGTCCTGTTGTTGTTGACCCCGGCTTGTCTGACTACTCTTTTGTCTCTTCCACCAGCTACACGCCATTGGCGGCGGCCATTACCGCAGCTGAGGTGTCTCGGGGGGCGCGACCTGGTTCCTGGCTGCGTCAAGTCCATCCCCACCCATCAGGGGCCCTGGTGAAGGACAGCCTGGGACTTAGACTCCGCGCCCTGAGGGACTTCGGTCTGTGGGTGGTGGTTGTCGTCAGCCAGTGCGTTACATTGTTAGGCCTGCCTGTCCGTTCCTCAGCTCCTGCCCTGACATAGACCTTAAAAGAGCAGTGCGTGACAGACAGCCCAGAAATCTCAAAGAACTGGAAGACTTTTGTAAGGAAGAATGGGCAAAGAAACCTCAAACAAGAATTGAAAGACTCTTGGCTGGCTACAAAAAGCGTTTACAAGCTGTGATACTTGCCAAAGGGGGCAGTACAAGATATTAACTCTGCAGGGTGCCCAAACTTTTGCAGACACCATTTTTTTGTTTTCTGTGATTTTGAAAGTGTAAATGATGGAAATAAAATCTAACTTTTGTTGACATATTATAAGAATGTCTAATCTGTAATTTTATGCCTTTTGGAGATTTTTCCATCTTTCCTTGGCTTCTTTATGCACATTAATACAAATTTTTAGCTGGGGTGCCCAAACTTTCGATCCCCACTGTAAGAGTGCCTGGGCACCTGCACATACCAGGAAGTGTCAGATTTCATTAAGCTTCACAGTTGTTAACAGGTGACAAATGCTAATGGAAATTAATGCCTAATTAGAGTCAGGGACCTTGCAAAAAAAAAAAAAAAGTTCATCACTGGACAAGTAGACAGCTGCCCAAATGTCTGCATGTTCCAAAATGACTATTTTCTTCTAACACTGCAAGTATGTTTTTTTTTAACACACTGGTCCCTGCAGTCGTTAATACTTTTTACTTACAAAATGACTTAATATGTAATTTAGCCCAAACTTTAGCATTCATTACCATTATCCAGTATTAGTATCAAAAATCATTTTTGGAGTCCAGTACAGCACACAATAGTTTGGTCTTAAAGTGTTACTAAACCCAGGACCCTGCATTCACTATATCCGTCTTCCACAGTACATGGAAATGCAATTATTTTAGTAAATATAAACTGCTAAATACCTTTTCTCATCAGCAGTATATAGCAGTCTTGTGACTTCTATCAGTGTCCAGCAAAGTACTGGTTACAGCTTGTATTATTATTATTATTATTATACAGTATTTATAAAGCGCCAATAGTTCGCTCAGCGCTGTACATTACAAAGGGGGACAGAACAGGAGGAGGAGTTTTCATTCTCCGGTAGGAGGATGCAGGACCCCAGACCTCCTAGATTGTAAGCTCTATCGAGCAGGACCCTCTGTTTTCTCTTGTACCAAATTGGATTGTAACTGCAATGTCTACCTTCATTTTGTAAAGTGCTGCACAAACTGTTGACGCTATATAAATCCTGTATAATAATATAATAATAATGTGCAGCTGGCCCCCAAGCCTCTGTACTATCAGAAGATATTTAAGAGAAACTGGAAGGAGATCAGAAAAGACAGGATCAAACATCATTTTTACCCGATGCAAAGGATTAACCCCTTAGGTATCACAGTGAGTATAACAAGCATGCTTTACTGCATATACAGACTGATTTTACGGTTGTGGGTTTATTAACACTTTAAACCAAAAATTTGAACAGCAAATTGTCTGATTGCCTTCCTATAATACTATTGAATCACAGACCCAGAACAAGCATGCTCTAAATGAGAGTGAATTCCTTTTTCTGCATACTTTTTCCAGATCAGTGACTCAGAAAGCAATGAAGTTAGAGTCTCCTGACAACCAGTGAATTAATATTCTCAAAAGCAAAGTCTATAATAATTTGGTGTACATGACAGGTGTACTTTACCTTGAACTAAACCTCTTCTAGGCTGTAAAGTGACTTGTAAACCCTTTAGAAATTGGTTGCATTTATAAAAGGGATGACAATATTGAAGGGAAATAAAAACAACACAACAGTGACAGATTCCAAAAAAGTAACTTTTTCATTTATTATATTAAAACAATAACATTTCTCTTATATTAAACAATAGACACACAACGGATTAATATTTCATATATTATCCCTTCTGCTGTCCTAACAGCTATTATTTAGTATTCTGATATTGAAGGGTACCTGTGGTTGAGAGGGAGTATTTAACAAATTCTTGGCATAGAATGCTGAAAAACAGGGTCAAACTACGTGCAAAAACACCCCTAATCTTAGAGATGGAAGTGAAAGGGCACTAATGAGTTACAGACCTTTTTATACCAGCAGAGACAGTGACAACCTGCATTCCATTTTTTTCCTCTTTCTTGACACATGGCTGACAAGTGACAGATATGAAAACCTTTCTTTATTTATTTTTGGAAGAGCCCATCTGAAATATCTTTCAGAAATTGTTGGGCACTATGAACAAAGATATAGGCTTTAAAGTAAACCTGTAGGGTTACAAAAACATACAAGAATGAAGTGAGTAAAGATTGCAATTACCTTTTTACGATTCCTGAGCAGCCCACATTGCCGAGTAGCATGGCAGAACTTTTTTACACACTGAGCGCCCAGTGCTCAGAAGCTCCTGAGGAAGTCTGGAACAGTAACAAAGGTACACACAAGCACCTCTCAGTGCTTACTTTACACTACAGGTACACTTTGACTTGTTGACATTCCCATTACTATAGATACTGTAGATCTACTGTATGAGCATCAAAAAGGTACATAGCAAATCTCTTACTGTTCTCTCATTCTTCTAATTGCTCCTTAGAACCAGCCCAATATTCAAGGCAGAGGCAGCAGGCTAAAGATAAGGACCACTGCTCTCTGTGTGAAGTTCACACACTCCACTGATTTGAAAGCTCTACCTCTGACTCATCGTGGGAGATGTGGTGTTGGAGGTAGGGTGCGATGGCCCGCTGCAGTAGAAACCACTGCTTTCACACACATAGTAGTGTTCCTTCTGTGCAGTCTGTAACTGGATTTTGGGCTTAAGCAAAGGAGCAATTGGAAGCATGACCTTAGTAGGACATTTGACGTGTACATTTTTGCTGCACACTCAATACATTTAGCTAAAGTAACAGAGCTTTAAATGTGCAGGCTTTTGGGCTGTTACCCTGACCCTACTACCCTAGAGGGTTGTTCAAGGTAGTATAGACAGGATATCGTATGTACTCTCCAGCACCTCAGGAAATGCACAGCCAAAAGGCAAGCCAAGGGAACCAGGACAGTGACAACCAAAGGAAATGCTTCAGGGGTGCAGCCCTCCTCAGATGGGAAGATCAGCCACTAGATAGAGAATAAACAGGTGGCGCACACACCTAGTGCATTATCCAAGGTTTATTGAAAGGTATGAAAGGTAAAAACATACTCACAGACGAAGCATGTATCTAAAAAGTATTTGCATAATGACGATGGCCACAACGGCAAGCAAGGTGTTCCAACTGTCAGTGCGGTCAAATGGCTGACGTGTTTCGGGGACGAGTCCCTTTCCTCAGAGCTACTGACCAGTCCCTGGTGCAGATGTGTAGTGGATGGATGATGAGAGCCTTGCTGGTGATGCCTGGCACATACAGCATGACCAGCAAGGCTCCCATCATCCATCCACTACACATCTGCATCAGAGGCTGGTCAGTAGCTCTGAGAAAAGGGACTTGTCCCCAAAACGCATCAGCCATTTGACCACCCTGACAGTTGGAACACCTTGCTTGCCGTTGTGGCCATCATCGTTATGCAAATGCTTTTTAGATACATGCTTCGTCTGTGAGTATGTTTTTACCTTTCATACTTTTCAATAAACCTTGGATAATGCACTAGATGTGTGCGCCACCTGTTTATTCTCTATGTAGTATGGACAGGGTCTGAAGGACTGTAATTTGCTAGGTATCAAAGCCAGAATCAGAATGACAACCTTAAAGCTTGCACCCTAAACATATTAAATTGCCAGTATCACTGTGTTGTTGCACTTAGAGGTGCCTGAACCTAGTTTTGTGGTGTGTGAGGGGGTGAAGTCCAGCACAAACTCAGGAATTTGAGTTGATGAAGGGCTATCCAACAGATTTACTTTAACCCCATCACCACCTTTCTCAGCACTATATACTCCTCTTTCCTTTGCTCTCTTGTCACTTAAGCAGGCCATAAATGGATTGAAATTTGGCTGGTTCAGCAGGGACTGGACGAATTTCGATCAATTTATGGTCATTGCGGTTGTACAGAAGTCGGTCTAGCGATTGATTTCTAATGCCTTGTTGGATTTTAGTCACTGGATCAGTGCTGCAGGCTATAGACTGCAGCACTGATCAGTGTATTCTGACAGCAGGGAGGCCTCCCCACTGTCAGAATACAAAGACACAGTGGGGAGGATTCCCCCATCTACCTTGACTGAAAATCTGACTAATGCATGGGCAGCTTTAGTTTAGTTACCTGGGACCAGGGAATTCAGTGAAAGCTTCAAAATCACTCAAGTGGTAGTTTAAAAAAAGGCAGTAGACTCCCCCCATGTCATAGTGTTGGTGCTGACACATGGAGTGACTATCATGCTCCTTCATTCCTGAACAGAGAAGTAGAGAACAGGAAAGGTAAGTGCTGCTGGCAAACAGTGGGCAAAACACAGGATTGCTTTAAAGTATGTCTACATCTAGGAATACAAATGTAGCACATTGAAGCTTACCAGTCCTTTAGATGTGCTGGCTGCATTAGTTTTCGATTTTCACACTTTTTCCCTTTATTTACACCAGGTGCCAGTTAAACACTCCCTGTCCTAGGGTGACAATGCTCACTCTCCATAAAGTATCTATAAAGGTGCGGTGTTCTCACCCTAGGACAGAAAGTGTGTTAGCACTACAGAACAAATCCCCCCTCTATCCTAATCAACATACGATAGGGAAGAGTTCTTCTAAGGTTCACAGAGGTACATTGGAAACCACCACTGCTTGAGAAAAGACTTCAAAGTGCAAATTAGGAACATATTGGATTACTGGCAGGATTAGCAGGTATTTTTGTTTTGTGCTTATCAAACAGATGTATCAAAACGCTTTCAATTGCGTATTTAGAAAACAAATAGGGACCTATATTATAGATGGTGGTTGTTAGGGTTTCCACACACTTTAAGGCTCCATTCACTCACACTAGGGTTTTTCAAATTGTGGGCGGAATCGCCACGATTCTGGCCAAAATTTTAAAAAGGGGTATAAAAGTGTAAAAATGTGCAATTGCATGTTCAGGTGCCATTCAATGGCACCTGAAAATGCAGGAACCTTTTTTGGGTTTCGAGCATCCCATGATTTTGTTTGCGCAATTGCAGCAAAAAACGCCCTGCGTTTTCAGGTGCCATTGAAATGAATGGCACCTGAACATGCGATTGCACATTTTCACACTTTTACAGTATGTTTTCAAATTACGGGCAGAATCACGGCGATTCCGCCTGCGATTTGAAAAACCCTAGTGTGAATGGAGCCTTTTTTTTAGTTTTAGATCCAACTGGGTAGATTTATATTCCCTAGTTAAATAGGTGACCATTGACAGAGACAGAAAGTGATGAGAAAGCCAAAATTGAAGTTTTCACCAGAACATGTGGTGAGGTTAAATCTTTCAATGGGAACATCTGTCTGGTGACATCTGCCTCAGAGCACCCTTAGATGCCTACTTCACAGTAATATTGATAGTTTAATTAGTTGCATTTCATTTTAAGGTTGAACACACACTTTTTAAGCGCATTTGTAGTGCTGTGTCCACACAATGACTGTATTTACAAATGTCCTGTCCCCACATGTACTACATAATTCTGATACATTCAGCCAGTCCACAATGCAGAGAGCACTAATAGAAGAAATCCTCATAGAAAACAAATTAGGACACGCCTGTATTTGTGGTCATGTTGTGGCTACTGCATAACAAATACTGCAGAGTAAGTGCACCACAGCAAAAATGAATATGTACCCTTAAGGTGAACTTCAACAATAAATTACAGGCAAAGGAACTGTCACCGGTATATTTTCAAACTTCACATATTTGCATCCTGGCAGCAAAGTGATTAAATAAAACATATAGGTTCAAAAAAAGACTTTTTTTCACATTTTTATTACAAAAAAAATGGCAAGCTGTTCAATAAACCTATAACAAGCTGTAACATTTTTATTGAATGCATCAATGAGTTTCGGATGTAAGGTAGCTGTGCACAGATACGGGGGTTGTTCAAATTTTCGTCTGTTTATCAGCATGGACTGTTTCCAGCAAGGCAATAGCCTCAAATGAACGATATGTTTCTGTATCTGCACGCAATAAAGTGCATTAGTCTCATCTTTTCACAAATGTTTAAAGATACAGGTAAATACAATGTGCACGTCACAATAGAATTGTGTGTTAAGAGGTCAGTCCACCTAAAACGGATATTTCGATTACACGTGAAGGCTGATGGGCTGAGTCTCTCCCTAGATTCTTTAGGGCAGATTCACATTATTGTGGTGCATCAATGGGCGTTTTGTTGTGCAATGGCTGTGTTAAGGCAGCCCATTCAATTTGATTGGGCCATCAAAGCACCTTGAAACACAAAAATAACTGAACTGCATTATTTTTCAGCAAGTATTCACATGTATGCTTAATGCTACGCTATAGCACAGGGGCATTTTACTCACTGTATATAGGTGG